CAAAACTGTACAACGTCTATCAAAGACAGAACAACAGCCTGACACACTTTGGAAAGGTAAGCTTAATCTTTACTTACAGTAGATCAACAACTTGGTTTGTTTATTATATTCAACAAAGCATGTTTGCTGATTTTTGGCCAGCTTTTTCGGATGTTATTAGAACACACCATAAGCTGTTTAAGATGAAGATAGAAAGGACAATGATTGCTTACACAATTATTTCTTTAAGTTTTTATTCGTAGTTTTGTCATTGACTGTGTAGGTACTGACGAGGGTCTTTAAAGTAACCAGTCACAACATTTTAAAGTAGTATATAATTGAGACACAGTAGAGTAACCTGTGTAACAGGGCGACTGTGGCTGTGAGGCAGTGTGGTCGTCTTTCAACCAGAAGGTTGTGGGTTCGATCCCAGCCCATGCAGTCAACATGTCGATGTATCCTTGGGCAAGATACTTAACCCTGAGTTGCTCCTGATGGCATGGCCAACGGTGTGTGAATGTGTGTGAATGTTAGGTCCTAGAGTAAGGTACACTGCTCTGTATGAATGGGTGAATGACATGTAGTATGTAAAGCGTTTTGAGGGGTCTTAAAGACTGGATAAAGCGTTATATAAGTACAGTCCATTTACCATTTAACATACATTGGCCTCCAAACATGTCATCAGGGAGTTATCAGAGTGATAAAGCTCTCTCAAAATCCAAATGCAGAGGATATGATAGCATTTTCCAGCCGCGAGACACTGAAACAGTATTGAATAATTCCAAAGAAAGTGGACCTTGTTACCATGTAAGTTGATTAATGCTGTGCATGCTAAACACTCTGTAGACAAGAGGCTATTTACAGAGAAACTGCTGTAACCCACATTTGACGTGCAAGCCCTTTAAACATGTGTTATTTATTTATAGTTATGCTGTTGTACAATGTAAACAACTTGAAATCCCATTTTAAGAGTGCTTCTCCTATTCAGTTGACCCTCTTAAAATCACCATGTAGGACTTCCCCAAGTTGTTTGAGTGTGTTAATGTGCATGTAACCATCGCCCGATGTTGGCCTAATTGCATTACTTCCTTCCCATTTTTGATCAAGTGGCTCTTGATTGTGTTTTTCCGAGGCCGTGGTGGACGAGATGAACAGACTGGGAATGATCGTGGATCTTTCCCACACTTCTTGGGAAACGGCCTCGGCGGCGCTGAAGCATTCTAAGGCACCAGTTATTTTTAGCCATTCATCTGCCTACTCCATCTGCAACCATGAACGTAACGTACCTGACTGGCTGCTGCAAGAGCTGGTGAGAAAACCAATTCACTGAATGATTAATCGCTTGCTTAGTTGCTTGATTAAAATGTATGAAGTCACTGATTCATTTATTGTAATTATGATTTGTATTTATACCTCTAACAAAGAACATTCAATCTGTTTTCATTAGTGCTTTGTGTATCAAGTGGAAAAAATGCAGAAAGGATTTCCACTTTTAAACAATTATTACATTTCAGCCTACTAACAGTCACTATAATTTATTCTGAATGTGCAGGGTAACAAAAGTCAACATGTCATGTCAATCTTTCATCATTTCCTTACCCGTGTTGGCTTCCCAATAATTTCCTCTTTGGTGTCACCACACACTGAGCAAACATGAAATGCCTGTCTGTTTATGACGCACGAGGGAACTTTAGGATCTACAGTAGATTCGCTTTCACTCTGTTTATTTTAGAGTGTTGTAATTGACTGTTAGTTGACTGTGTGGAGCAGTTTCCGATACAAAATTATTTTTGCAGTCGGAAAAGGTGGAACGCCCTATCTTGGTTGTTGTAGAGTTTCTAAGCTGACGTGATGCCCTTATTGAGTGTCAGCTGTATGCACCAAAGCATTTCTAAATTCTTCATTGCTCACACTTCATCTGCTACATTTGTTTATATGAACTGTACTTTGCTTCATCTCTGTCACCTCCAGCTCTTTTTCTCCTTTGTACAACATTATGAGTTGGTCCTAACCCATGTTTCATTATTCTTCTCAGTTTGTAATGAACACAACTTGAATAATTAATGTTAAAATAGTTAATAACATCTCCTTGTGACTCAGTCAGTACAAATGTGTAAGTTCTTTGGAAAAGCAGTAGTATAATTACTGAAGTATTTGCTATGCATGGAAATAGCCACTTCAGAACAGCACATCATTCTTAATGTTGATTTCCCTAGGTTTCTGCTTTTTAACTTAAGTTCTGGGTTGTTTGATATATAAACATGTTGTTCCAATAGACTGAATATCCAAACCGTGAAGTAACTGAGACACATTGTTCTAATTCAACCTCAACCCAACTCATCCTTTCTTAGTTCCTTCATGAGTGGGCATGTTTCTCATTATGCCACGCATTGTGTGTTCGCTGCAGGCTAGTTCACTGCAGGTTTGGAGGTTGCATAAGCAGAAACCTGAATGTTTACCACTAATAACTACAATTAGTGAATGTTAATGATACAGAAACAACACTTACACCTCCCTAAAGAAGGCTGTTTGTGCATACGTGTAATGTAACCCAGCTCCATCTTAACATGTACAACTTCATAATGAAAAAGTAATCGGATGAAAGCCTGTTAAACGTTATTGCTCGGAAATGCCCCGGGTCTTTCATCTTATCTGAACTTGTATCTCCTGCAGTAAAAATGCCCCTTGATTACCCCTTCAGAGCGCTGACAAAATAAAGGCCACTTGTGTGTGGAAATTGCATTCATCCATAGCACATTTTAGCGGATGCTTCACTGCGTGTGTGTGTGTGTGTGTGTGTGTGTGTGTGTGTGTGTGTGTGTGTGTGTGTGTGTGTGTGTGTTTATTCACTGAAGCTTTGTGTGTTTCAGAAAAAGAAGCAGGGGTTGATCATGGTGAACCTCCACAGCAAATTCATATCCTGTAGGGATGAAGCAACCATCTCTCATGTGGCTGGTGAGGCGTCCATGTTGATTTTTTTTATTTGCTACAAATTAAATCTGCTTATTTGTTGGTTGATTTAATATTCCACTTGGGTTTCACAGACCATTTTGACCACATAAAGAAGGTGATTGGAGCTGAGTCAATAGGAGTTGGAGGGGACTATGAAGGTGCTGTGAGGTAAGATATATTCACCTGTAAACACAACTTGTAGAAAGCTAGGAGCTAAAAGTTAAAGTAGTTAAATATCTTCTATCAAATAACTAGAATGAGTGGGGATCTTCAGAGACTTACACACCGAGAAACCAAAAATAAAACAAAGCTAATGCTGATGCTAATGCCAGTAGAGTGCACACTTGTTTACAGATCAATATTGTGCTTTTGTTAGCCTGTAATGATATCAGCCCTTTGTCTGTCTCTGCTGTCAACAGGCTGAAAATCAATAACTTTGCACTTCTAACAGGCCTAGAGATAGAGATGCTGCAGTATGTAATTTGTTTTGAGACATTCCTGTTTGGACTAGATTGTATCTGAATGCAGGGGGAAAGCAGATTCAATGCACCGTTCTGCAACAAATCTGCTTTCCCCCTGCATGCAGATACAATCTAGTCCAAGCAGGAATGTCTCAAAACAAATGACATTGAAGGAATACATTAACAAGTGTTTATTTAAATACTCGTGTGATTATTATCTACTCATAATGGTATGTGATGTTAAAAGCCAAAAGTGTCAGAATAAGTGGTTTCTTGGCAAAATAAGTATCCATTAATTCAAATAATGTTTTTCATCAACAGCTTTCCTCGAGGGTTAGAGGATGTGTCAAAGTATCCCGCCCTGATCCTGGAACTCCTGCAGAGGAACTGGACGGAGAGTGATTTAGCTGATGTCCTTCGAGGGAACTTCCTGCGAGTGTTCGAGAAGGTCGAGAGGGTGAGCTAAAGGAATAAGAGATTGTGCTTCTAAAAACAGTCTTCCCTTACAAATGAAGGGTACATTTGCTCTCCATAATTGAGCCACAGGAGTGTTTTGCTACAGTATTATGGAGGCGTGTGGTGCAGTGGGTTGAGCGTTGGTGTTTGGATCAGGGGGTCACAGGTTCAAACCCCACTGCAGTCAGCATGTCGTTGTGTCCCTGAGACACTTCACCCCAAATTGCTCCTGTGGGGATTGCCCACAGTATTGAGTATGTAAGTTGCTTTGGATAAAAGCTTCTAACAAGTGACATGTAATGTAATGTAATACAAATAATGTATGCTTGGTAGAACATATGAAGAGTATGTGTTATTTAATTGGTCTCTAAACAAAATGTCACTATATGTATTGTATTTTTCCTAAAATAAAGGGGCCATTTTTATGTCGTAGCTACCTTACTTCATGACATAGTATTCAAGTGTTTTTTTTACTTGTGTTTGAAATAAAAAATTTAAATATAGCAATAGATTGATTGACCTTAAAATATTGACTTATAGGCATGATTTATTCTCCATGAAATGATTTCTTTGCACTACAAGTTTGAAATGATATATAACAGCAGTTCAAATATGAGTTCTAAAATGTACTTGTGTTATATCCTCCCTCTCTTGTGTCACTGCTTTTCCCACAGGTCCGTGATCAGTTGAAGAGCACCGGGCCCAGTGAGGTCCAGATCTCTGTGGAGGAGGTGCAGAACCCGTGCAGGCTGGACCTCAGACCTCCGGACACGACGGGCCACTCTGACCGGAGCGGATCCTCCAGAGCCCGGCAGGAACCAAAAGGTCTGCTGATGCTCTCCATCGTTCTGCTGCTCTCCAGCCTTCACACGATTCAATGAGTGCTTAGAACGTTCAGCTGCAGCTTGATTTTTAAAGTGGATTTTTTTTTAAATAATACATTAGAAAAATATATACTTTTGAGGTGTAACCCCATTTGAGTTACATTTTTTAAAAGCCACCTCTGTATAAAGTATATATATCTATATATATAACTATACATTAACCATCATTCCTCTGAAAGGAACTCAGTTAGTTTTGGAATTTATTTATTACATATTTAATTTGTTGCTGAATTTGTTGTATCTTGGCTGACACCATCTCTATGAGATATAATAAGTGTGAATAATGACGCCGATCAACTCCCTCACCTGGTGTGTTTTCCTTCCCTGTTAATCACCTGCCTGGCCTCAAGGAGCCTCAGCTGTCCCTAATCATTACTCCTCTCCTGTGGATTTAGTCTGTGCTGTTACCTTGCTCAGTGACAGTTCGTCTTGTCTGTCTAGCATGAAGTGCTCCAAGATACTCTCCTAAAGTAAGCTCTGGTTTTAGCTGTTTAGCGTTTGTACCAGCGTTTGTTTTCGTTGCTTCCAGTCTGTAATTGTTTTTTGTTTTTGCCTGTATTATTTAGCCTTTTGGATTAAACGCTTGACTAAAATCTTTTTTGCCTGGTTGTGCTCTTGAGTCCTATTTTTGCTCTTGCCCGTACTTGTGTTTGATATTGCTGCAGGGACAATGGTTTAAGTGAAATAATCAACTCCATCCTATGTAATGCTTTCCTTGGAAAAAGAGATATTTATTGAAGTGAAGGGAAGACCAGTAGAATTCCTAGCATTGTGTGGTTTATTTTTTATTAACTGCTTAATTGTCATGCTTGATCTGTTACATATAAAACACTCGGCTTGTACTGATTGTTTAGCCCACATAAAAATAAACAGTTGATTTCTAGACTGTTGGCCTGTAATACTGCTCGTACTTGGCTTCTTAGAAAATACAAAACAAACACACATTAAACAAAAAAGGGTCTCTTGGTGATCTGAAATGCTAAAAACGTAACAGTTCAAAAGTCATTCATAAACATCTCTCATATCAACAACACAAATATCTTTCTGACAAAAAGTCATAAATTATTACTCTTTAAAAACGTGTTTCAAGATCTCTGCCTTACAGCACAACCAACGTCAAGCACTGCGTTCAATAGCCACAGCAACATATGTAATACCTCAGTGGGGACATGTTGAAAAAATAAATAAATAAATAGAGTTATGCTTCCAAGATAATCAAAGAGCTGTTTCAGAATAAAAAATCTGGCAAAGTATTTAAACAATTCTTCCAACTTGTGTTCTAATTAGGATAATAAGGATTATTATCGATATGAAGATGACTTTGTGACATAAATATGATTGATTTCCGTTTGAGAAATACAGGATTTATGTGTAAAGAATGGCGATCGTGAGCAACAGGTAGATACGTGAACAAGTGTGTCCCAATATTCTACAAAAATTAAATAAAACCTTTGTACTCAAAAATCGGTACTTCACAACGAAAGTCAAATTCATGCCTGTACTGAGAAATGTTTGGCAGCAAAGCAGCTGCTGCCTCCTGTCCAGAGGTGGAATGTATTCTGATGAGTAGCAGCTAACACTTGATCATGAGTAGATGGTGATAACTTCTCGACCTCCGCCTCGGACCAGCAGCACTCTTTCCAAGCCTTCAGTCAACACCTCCAGAAACTCCATATCTGAGGGACACGTTAAAGGAATAGACCAGACAAACAGCAGCCTAGCCACTTTTTCTATGAAGCTAAAGGCCCTGACACACCAAGCAGTCACCAGAGAACTCCCCGATGCCGATGCCGACGCCGACTGTTGCGTCGGCGTGTTCTCCTGCGTCTTGGCCATGTGTCGCACTGGAACACACCGCAAAGACTTCAGCCGAGCACGTACTGCGCATGCGTGAGTGGCAATAACTCTCCTTACCAGCAGGCGGCGGTAGTGTGTATTCGTCATTAAAAACAGGCAACAACCGGAAGACAGAGAAGAAGAACAGACTACGTGATATAAACAAACAACAAATAGAGTGTGCGTTCCATTTTCACTCTCGTCCATCGAAAACATGTTTCGTACGGTACTGGAGCTATCAGCCATTGGAGTGTTGCTTGTGGAAGACATTCTCAAGCAACCGTTTTGCTTCTCATGCACTGATTTCGCTAGCTGAACAGCCAATCAGAGTGATTTCTTTGTGCGTCGGCCATGAAAGGCCAAATAAGGCGTGTCACGGCCGACGGTGCGGGACACACCAAATTGAGTTTGGGCGACAGGGCACGCTTCGTCGTCCGACTAACGAAAACGGCCGATTTTGGCCTGGTGTGTCAAGGCCTTTAAAAAAGCTTCTATGAAATTCAGCATGAACACTTTTATCATATTGGCGAAGGATACAGTTCTCATCTCCCTCTGTGTCTCGAGGTGGCCCCGGCATGTTGAGTAGCACTAACCGAGCATCATGGGACCTGTTGACTATCACCTCGTTCAGCTTCACAGCCGTGTGCATTCGCCGCACGTTGGACTGATCCCTGCAGCGCAGCAAGGGGGAGAGAAGGAGAGCCGAATGGATTTGTACGAATAACAAACTTTTTCTGACTATTTTAAAGCAAGATCTTACTGGGTCTAACAAAGAAAAAAGGTGAAAACAAGGTAAAAGGTTGGCATTAAATGCTACATTTGTTATAATGAGAGGCAGTCGTGATGCTAAAGCGACTCACGGTTTGAGGCTCATGAGTTCTCTGAAGTTCTCAGGCGCGTTTTTCCTGTTCCTCCTCTCAGCCTCACATTTCTCTCTTGTCCACGTCATCTGAACCTTATCTGGGGGAGCCTCCACCACTTCCTCTTCCTCATCTGAGTATAGACTTCCCATTCGCACCAAAGAGTGTCTGTCCTTCACCAGCTGGGCCTGCAGGCCATGGGAATGACACATGGACTAGTTGTCAATGAACTGTACTTGACTTGAATTGTTATTTATAGAATTGTACATCACAAGGTTGCGCAAGATATTTCCGAAATGATTCGCAACATCAGAAAATGAAGGCTCAGGAGTTAGTTGCATATCATGCATGATACGTTTTTTTGAATTTGTGAAATATATTAGAAATGAACATTACACAAAAAAACAACATACCTCTCTTTCTCTTTCTGCACTGGACAGCCTCATTTGTCTCAACATCTGCGACCTCTGCTCCATCATTAATGTTCGCTCGTAGGTGTATGCTGAGATGTCGCTGTCATGCTAAAGTGTATTATGCAAAACATAATTGTGGTTAATGCAACTTAATCATACTGTATGTGTCTGTTGCACATGGATTGAGTGAGCACGAAAGTTAAGTACATCCATGTTCATGTCAAGCAGTGATTTTTCTTTTTAAGCACCAGCATGTTTGTAGCAAAGGGCATCTGGACTCAGTTGCAATTTTATCACCAAGTTCAATTCAAGCTGGTCTTGTTGTTCCCATAAAAAGACATATGTGAGTCTTTACTTGGATTCAGAGAAGTGGGTGTGTAAGAGAGACCCTCACCATCTCCACCACCTCCACTTCTGCCTCTATTCTCAGCTGGTAGAGGAACGTGGCCAGATCTTTCTTCATCTGGATGCTGTTGTCCTCCATCTGGGCCACAGTGAAGATGCGCATGCAGCATTTCCTCCAAACCTAAAATACAGATACAACCATGTGGTATTTGACCATGTGTAAAATTGAATGAGTGTGACTATAATTACTCACAGAAACATGTTTCAGAAATAAAAGTGGAAATATCTTGAAAAGTGAAAACAACTAAAACTAACAAAGACTATTCAAGGAGAGCTGGCACGTGTTGAAGGTTTTAGAACTCTGAAGTAGCTCAAAGATAGCTGAGGTCTCACTTTATGCAGTTTGAGCAGGAAAGGCAGCAGCATTAGCATCCCGCCATCATGGACGATCCACCAAACGTCAATGTTGCCATCTGTGAAGCGTTCATGGTTGCTCGGGTAGAAGGACACATTTTTGGGCACCATCAGGGCGAGGTGAGCAGCTGTGGTGCAGCGGACTGTGTCTGAGGAGAGGAGGAAACATGGAGGCATGGATATTAACTGTACTGCATGCATTACTTACTTTAGCTACAATGTACATTGTGTGCAAGCAAATGGAAACTAACACAACATCTATTATAACATCCGCATTTCGTATTCAACGAGGCCATTCAAAGTATTTATAGCAGTGTAAAAACAGAAGTGTAAACAGTGTAAAGGAAACATATCAAATGTCATTTAAATACATTTAGAAACAGTCATTAAAAAGCCAAGAGAGTAAAAATTGAAATAAGCAAAAATAGAATAAATGTAAAATGCATAATACATGTTTTGGTCCAGTTTAAAATATAAATAGTTATTTGAGGCATTGGCAAAAACAAAACTGTTTATAAGTTAAAGTTTATAAGAGTGAAGCTTGTGTTAATTCAACAGCATGTTATGCTTGTTAAGTGTTTTAGGTGTCATGTTGTGAGCAGTATTGCAGTGAGACTCTTACTGATGAAAGTCTTCCAGGCCCGGGGGGTCCTCGCTCTGCCTCCAGCCGTACGGCCAGCCCATCATCACCGTGTTGTGCTTCATGCCCCCCAGACCACAGGACTGGATCAGGTGCATTATACCGTCCCGCACCTTAGAGGCCACCACGATCTGACAGAAGCCCTTCACCCGCTCTATCTCCATCATGTGCTTAATGGCCTGGGTGAAAAAATAACGTATGTCCATGATAACAAATAAAGAATTGACCAAATAAACAGTTGACATAAAAAATGGTTACATAATGCTTTAAAAATAAACAAAAACATTA